CCGTATATCTTATTTGATGAGGTGTCTGTTCAGGTCTTTGATCCATATTTTTTTGTCTGGTTGTTTTCTTGTTGTTGAGTTGTAAGAGTTCTTTGTATATTTTGGATAACAGTCCTTTATCAGGTATGTCTTTTTGCAAATATTTTCTCCCAGTCTGTGCCTTATTGTTTCATTCTCTTGACAGCATCTTTTGCAGAGCAGATAATTTTAAATTTAATGAAGTCCAAGGTATCAATTCTTTCAATGACGGATTATGCATTTGGTGTTATAGGTTAAAAGTTATTGCCAAACCCAAGGTCATCTAGATTTTCTCCTGTGTTCTTCTGGGAGTTTTATAGTTTTGCTTTTCACGTTTATTTTTATCTAAGTCAGGTAGTGTCAGTCCTTCAGCGTTGTTTTTTTTTGTTGTTTTGTTTTTGTGGTACGCGGGCCTCTCACTGTTGTGGCCTCTCCCGTTGCGGAGCACAGGCTCCGGACACACAGGCTCAGCGGCCATGGCTCAAGGGCCCAGCCGCTCCGTGTCATGTGGGATCCTCCCGGACTGGGGCACGAACCCGTGTCCCCTGCATCGGCAGGCGGAATCTCAACCACTGCGCCACCAGGGAAGCCCTGTTTTGTTTTTTTTTTAATAAATTTTATTTATTTATTCTTGGCTGCGTTGGGTCTTCTTTGCTGCGTGCGGGCTTTCTCCAGTTGTGGCGAGTGGGGGCTACTCATCCTTGTAGTGTGCAGGCTTCTCATTGCGGTGGCTTCTCGTGTTGCAGAGCATGGGCTCTAGGCGTGCAGGCATCAGTAGTGTGGCTCGCGGGCTCCAGGGTGCAGGCTCAGTAGTTGTGGCGCACAGGCTTACTTGCTCCGCGGCATGTGAGATCTTCCCGGACCAGGGCTCAAACCCATGTCCCCTGCATTGGCAGGTGGATTCTTAACCAGTGCACCACCAGGGAAGTCCTTGTAGTAAGTTTTAAAATAAGGAAATGTGAAACCGCCACCAGGGAAGTCCCTCAACCTTGGTCTTTCTTCTTCCATACTGTGTTGACTATTTTGGGTCTTTTGCCTTTCCATATAATTTTAGAATCCGTTTGTTGATATCCACATAATAACTTACTGGGATTTAAATTGGGTTTGAATTGAATCTGTTGATATTAAGTTGGGAAGAACTGACAATATTGTGATTGTCAGTTCATGGATAAGAATATTGACAATATTCTTATCCGTGAACATGGAATATATCTCCATTTGTTTAATTCCTTGATTACTTTCATAAGAGTTCTATAGTTTTCTCATAGAGATCTTGTACGTATGTTGTTAATTTCTTACCTGTTTCCTTATTTTGGGGTGCTAATGTAAATATTATTGCATTTTTAATTTCAAATTCCGCTTATTTATTGCTAATACATAAGAAAATGATTTACTTTTATATATTGACCTTGTATCCCACAATTGCTGTAATTGCTTATTAGTTCCAATGGTGGTTTTGTTGATTCTTTCAGATTTTCTACATAGACAATCATGTCATCCTAATTATTTTTACATATGCATATACTATTTTGAATCTCACTACTTTAGAAAATTAGTGATATGACTTTTATTTATTTTAATGTTTATATGAAATCCCAGTTAAAATAATTTCAAGTACAAAATAATATGCTAATGGAACATAAATCCTTACAGAATCTTGTCAGATAATTCTGGAGATTTTGGGGGGGGTGGGGGATAAGGAAGGGATATACTTTCGCCTAAATGGTTTAGTTTTTCTTTAAGTATGGGGAAATGTACCTTTTTCTTTTCCTATTCTTTATTTAATAAATTTCTTTTATTTATTTATTTTTGGCTGCCTTGGGTCTTCATTGCTGCGCGCGGGCTTTCTCTAGTTGCAGCAAGCGGGCTTCTCTTCATTGCGGTGCGCTGGCTTCTCATTGCAGGGGCTTCTCTTGTTGTGGAGCACAGGCTCTAGGCATGCAGGCATCAGTAGTTGTGGCACACAGGCTCAGTAGTTGTGGCTCGTGGGCTCTAGAGTGCAGGCTCAGTAGTTGTGGCACACGGGCTTTGTTGCTCCACAACATGTGGGATCTTCCCAGACCAGGGTTCGAACCAGTGTCCCCTGCATTGCTAGACGGATTCTTCACCACTGCACCACCAGGGAAGCCCCCCTTTTTCTTTTAATGTTAGTGTAATTCAGAGTCTGGATCCAAAAAATAGTATGGTCCATTTTCTTTATTTTAATATATTCTTATAAGGATTGGGAAAGAAAATGGGATAACTGTATTTTTTTTATGTTTACTTTTAGCCAAGTTTCAGTCCTTGCTCTAAATGTTTTAATGCCTCAGAGCCAAGAAGGCACCTATTAACTTTTTTTAAATCTATACATTTGGTTCATCTTTGATTTTGTTTGTTTTTTTCTTTATAGAAATTAAAAATTAAAAAACGAAGATGAGGGCTTCCCTGGTGGCGCAGTGCTTGAGAGTCCGCCTGCCGATGCAGGAGACGCGGGTTCG